ATTCTCTATCGATTTCTAGCGTTATTTTTGAAAAAAAAATCCACCCCCTAGAAGGGGTGTCAATCCCCAACAGGGTGGAAGCGTCGATCGGCGCTATGTCACTAATGTTCATTGACCTTTTCTCTAACTATCTGCCAAATTTCAAGTCGATCGGTTCAGTTTCAAAGAATCCGGAGGAGAAAAGCTTCAATGACTCTACTAGAAGATAAATTTCAATTTTGTATTAATTTACTGATTGAAGTAATCGTTATAATAATACGCCTTTCACGCTTCATGGTATCTACCATCAAATTGCTTGTTTATCAAATTGACATTCAACTTGTTATTTTGAAACGAAGCATCTTGAAGTTTTTCAGATAATCTCCAAATCCAATTACGATCCAACAACCTAAATCTTTAAATCTCTGCTAAAAGTGCTTCCGAGAATTATGGAATTGAAATATGTTATTTCTATAAATACACGTACTTTTATAGTGTCTTTTTTAATTGTGTGGTAATAAGTATTTACCATTTTAAAATAATATCACGAATTAAAATAGAAAATTGTGGATCTCTAATTAGCTCGACGTTATTTTACCACTTGATTTCGAGTTAAGTACTTTATCATTGATGTAACTATTTGTGGAGGATAATTACTTAGAACAGACTGTTTCCAAAACTGTCAAGTTGTTTTGAAATTCAGTTTTTCTGGATAATTTACATACAAATAGCTTTTATCTTCCTCCACAGTATATTGTTTTTCAAAAGAGTAAAATTATGTAATACAATACTCGAACCCATCAATTATAAATGTATGAATTTGAATGTTTATAACTCCGCAAAAGAAAACTATCAAATATGAAGAATAAGTTGGCCGTTCGAGATCATGTGACCTACCAATCCATCAACCAAGAAATACATGCGTCGATGCCTATATTTACTATCCATCTGCTTTTAAAATACGTATTGTCAATGAAATGATAAAATGCACCTCAGCACAATTGCTTCAGTAAATGCTACAATGTGCCATCAAAATAAATGCCAGCAATAATCTCAAAGTAATAGCACAGTATGCACAAAAAGTTCACTATACAGGGTGTGCGTAACGTAATTTAAATAACATACAAGGTGATTCAGTTATAATGTCATTAATTTTAACCACGTATTCGAAAAGATAGAATATCGAAAAAAAAATGTTGCGTTGAATGTTGAAGCGAAACAGCTGATTTCCCCAGTCGTCTTGATTTTGCAATTGGTTTCAAAATCAAAGTGCATCGGATCCTAACTTTATTAACGAAGTGTTATGGACGGTTAAGTGTTTTTTTTAGCCGTACTGTCATTTTAAATAGGTAGGTACCATGCTACTCTTTAAAAATTAATAATCAAACTGATTAATTAATTGAACATAAAACTAAAAACTCGTGTTCATTTATAAAATATTAAAAATATTAAATAACCTAACATTCGAAAACAATTATTCTCTTCATATATTTGTTTTTACTAACAAATAAATACGAGGCATATCCATAAAGTAAGTGTACTCAATTTTTAAGAAATCGAAAGGGCAGTAAATTTAAGAAAATTTACATATTTCGAAAGGTTTATCAAACACTATTTTCCGACGTAACCACCTTCAACCTCAAAGCACTTTATGAGTCAAGGGAGATTTCCGTCAAAAAAATTTATCGCCATCTCTCGGGCCCATTGTTTCAAAGCACTGGCGGCATTATCGTCGGTAGAAAACCATTTTCCATCCATAAACATCTCCAGAGAAGAAAAAAGATGAAAATCAGAAGGTGCCAGATCACGGCTGTGAGTGGGATGATTGACGATGTTCCAACCGAAGCAATCCAAGAGTTGCTTTGTGGCTCTAGCTACAGTGGCTATAATAGAGTCACTGTAGCTCTAGCTATGTGAGGACGTGCATTGTCATGCAACAAGCACATTCCTTTCGTTAACATTCCCCTTCTTTTGTTCTGTACGCCCTCCTCTGAGGCAAAAAGTCAATGAGGAGAATCCCTATACGATCACAGAACAAAGTTGCCCCGATTTTTCTCCTTGGTTCATCATGAACATTCGTTCTGCCAGCTTTATACTCTCGACGCCACTTGTACACATTAGTACGATTCAGCACACCATCCCCATAAATAGTTTAGATTTTGTTAGAAATTTGCAAGAAGAAATCGGATTACACTCATCACCTCATAACTTGCGGGATTGAGAATAAAGGCACTCATTATTTCACCACAACACGCCACTACAACAACAGTTCTCAACTGTCTGAGACAAATTAGCAATACCTAGTAGACAACAAATAATAAATAACTATCCGAAATGGAAACTAAGAATATGTTTAAATATAATTAACACAGAAACACACACCTGTTAGTTTGACATTGTTCAATAATGTAATAAAATCGTTCATAGCAACATATTGTATTCTTACTGTTGTGTTATCAGTGACAAAGGCTAATTAGACCAGGCAATAGAGAGAAAAATATTTAAATTTTCGCGGCCCGGTCCGATTTTAATGCGGTTTTTTGCAGTTTGTTCAGAAAGACCGTCGGAAAAAAGTCCCGCCTTTTTTATTATCCGGAAGTGGCGGAAATGCATCGCGGATGCATAAAGTGCATCTAGAAGTGCATCGCATCCGAGAAACTTGCCAAAGTGCACAAAATACCGCAAAAATTGGTACTCGGAGGTTTTGGGGGGCGCAGAATTCGAATATGCATCTATCCAGTCCACCCGACCCCCCGGGGGGCGACTTCCGGCCGTCTGGGGGGCGCGGGGGGCACGTGGATTGCAAGGTTCTCCGAGTGACTGGAAAAATGGATTTCGGGGGGTTTTCGCGGGTGCTGATTCCGAATTCGAGGGTGACAAATATCCCCTGTTCTCGTGGAGGGGGCGGCAGGGGGGTTGAAATCTAGAGTTCCCGAAATGACTGGAAAAATGGATCTCGGGGGTTTTTGCCGGTGCTGATTCAGAATCTGATCCTGCCAAATGCGTCCGATGACTATTTCTGATTATTTTGGGGAAGGGCGTTAATCTTCTAAGAAGGATGAATATAAATTAATGGAAAATCATAGGACGAAACTCAGAAGGAGAAGGAAGAGAACGAGGAAGAGGAAGATAATTTTGATTGGTATTTATAGTTGTTTGATAAATGAGCCCGTGTGACAATTAATACAGAAGGAATATATTTTAAGACAATATATATTTTAAAACAATAAATATATGTACTTTTATACTTTAGAACAATAAATATATTTAAAAAAATTATCAGGCTTATCCTTTCTTTTTCCAACCGAACTTTTTAGATTGAGTTTCGTTGCTAGTTGGGGAAGATTTGTCTGTGGGATTTTGCATATCTAGATTTTTGGCATCGATGAGTATTGTCTAATTTTATTTGATTTAAGACTATTTAGGAAAAATTTTGAACTTGTTTGAATTAGCCTGATGCTTTTAGAATAGTTTAGGAAAATTTGGATATTAGTTTTGTTTTAAACTTGTCGAAATGTCAACGATTACAGAATGTAAACTACCATTATACAGGATATTTCAGTATTAAGTAGGCAAACTATAAGGAGATGTTCCTTAGGTAAAAATAAATAGGTGTATATAAAAGATACAGTGTTAAAGATTCCAAAAAAATAATTCAACATTTAGAAATATTGACGGCATTATAATTTTGCAAAATGGTGCATGCAACAAAGATACCTTATTCATTACGAGGGATTATTTGACATTATTAGTCAGCAGCCTACTTATATCTTCTTAACTAATAATCGTAAACAAGTTTATGAGGTGAACTTAAATAAACTAAATTTTCCATAAAACCGTAGCAACCCTAGAAAAACCAAAAAATAATTTTTAACCAGGACAAAATAGTACTAATTATCATTTTTCACAGGACCGTACTACTTTATTTGTCGAATTAATTGGGCAGCCTACACAGCCTATATTCTCTACTGCAGACTAGTCATAACAAGTCACAACAAGTTTTACTTAAACATCTTTGCTTTCGCGATATAAAACATTTTTTTTAGAATTTTCATCAACCTGTATCTCGAAAACGGAGTGTGTCCGGCTCTATGTAATTCTTTTTGTCTATTTTTACCTGAGGATTCATAGAAATTTTTTAGCGCACATAATAACACATAATTTAAAGTGCACCTGCTGGCAGTGAGTGCAAACAAAAATAAAAACATAAACAACACAACATACATTTATTTAAGGTATATTTACAGCAATAAATTATTTTATGCACGTACTAAAGTGCATTTACATATAGTTTAAATATATACATAAATATTTACAGTCTTCTTGTGCAAAAAGAATGCAAAACTAACCAATTTTGTTTAAAATGATACCTTCGGTGAAGAGATCTACAAATACTGTTTCTAAATTATCAGAAAAATATAAAATATACTGTATATTTCATTAGTATTCGGATATTACTATAGGGGGTTACGTTTTTATATTATTCCATAAATATTAAGTACATATTTTGCAATACAGAAAACAAACATTTTAAGTATGTACAAGATGCATTCCAAGTAAACAGGATTTGATACTAAATGAAAACTTTTGCTGTCCTGATAAAAAAACGCATTATATAAGAATCAGTCAATCATTTCATAAACTTAGTTTTGCCTAACCAAAAATGTCTCGCACTGAGAAAGTAGATAATATCACCACTACACAATAATCACTGACACGTATTACACAAGTTATAGTTTCGAAAAACCCTCTGTTTTCATTATCAAAGACTTAGTTATACAGTTGACTGAAAGTTTTTTGACAGCATTTTTCGAAACGTTGACTATGTAATGTGATTTTCAACGTAGCAAAAATACCCAACAAGACTATCAATACTGCTCGAGTCATAAATCAAAATAATCATTTTAGATAACAGGAACAGCAGTAATATTGTACTTCACAGTATTTTTCATGATTTTCATGCGTTTCAAATCATCACCTTTCTGTTAGTTTTGCACCCCCACACATCACTTCAGACTTACATGTTCTTCTATACTCCTAAAGAAATCGTGGAAGCTGCTGTTCTTGTATTGGATTTCCATAAGGATTTGCGTCTGATTACGTCTGCTTTCACCGGAGTTTTTGAAAGCGATGACACCAATAGTCAGTTCCAGGCAGAGAACGACGCATAACGTGAGGCCAAACTGAAAAATGCCAAGGAAATTAGTATTTTTTAATTGCCAGACTGTCAAAGGATAGTGCAACTTCGAAGGCAAAATAAAAGTCGACTTTTATTTTAATCTTTTGGGTGGAACGTTCAACGGAGTCGACTTTTCAAGGCGATTTCTGTGGGTCGTGGTAATTTACAACCATATTAGCGTAAATATTCAGTTTGTAAAGAGTTTTGAGTTGAACCCAGAAAAATTAATATTTTACCAGAATTATTTGCAATTTAACTCAATGAAACGTGTTAGTTTTTCTCATACCTACTGGTTGCTATGGTATGTTGTTTATTATCAATTATTTCATAAACAGTTCCATTTGAAATTGGTAAAAATGCAAGAAAGTAATGTTGTTCCTGTGGCTGTTTTTGAAGAAGCTCAAGAGAGCAATTTTCCATTTATTGCCAGCGAAATCCAGGGAACATTATGAAAAAGTGAATGGTGGAAAAAACGGAGAGTAGTGACAATAAATGAAGAATGTGGTCATCTATGTGGTCGAAGTATTCGATGTCGAAGGGTACTATATAGGCCTACAAAAATATAGATATTGGAAAATATAACAAGCTTACTGCTTATTTGAAGAGTGGATCGAGAGGATACAAAGCAAAAAGCAGCAGTATTGGAAAGAGCACATATTGAAGAATTTTTCCGATAAAGAATATTTAATGGTTAGGGTAATATCTCTTTACCTTTTACATGTTGTTAGGTATACAGTGTGGCTACGATTTAGGTGACACAGGCTTATAACTCAGGTGTTAATTGACGAATCTTTTTCAAATTTTAACCACTTATGCAGATCAATGGGGTGGACATTTGAGGATCATTAAACTTACGTATATCCATAGGTGTGCGTTAGGGGAAATTAAAAGGGGGTCGATTTTTCGGTATTTTTTATTAGCGAATAAAATACGGAAATGCTGATGCCTTAGTCTTAATCAGTATCATCGAAAATATACCCATGTCAAGTTTCATCCAAATCGTATACTGGGTTGTACAGAAAATTCATTTAATACAAATGTAAATGATTTAGGTGACACAGGCCTATAACTCGGGTGTTAATTGACGAATCCTTTTCAAATTTTAACCACTTATGCAGACCAATGGGGTGCACATTTGAGGATCATTAAACTTACATATATCCATAGGTGTGCGTTAGGGGAAATTAAAAGGGGATCGATTTTTCGGTATTTTTTATTAGCGAATAAAATACGGAAATGCTGATGCCTTAGTCTTAATCAGTATCATCGAAAATATACCCATGTCAAGTTTCATCCAAATCGTATACAGGGTTGTACAGAAAATTCATTTAATACAAATGTAAATAAGCTAATACAGACTGGATAACAAAAAAAAAAAGGTATAACAAAACTCAGTTTATTTTCTTAGTTTCAATGTAGCCGCCATCTCTCCTTATACATTCTTCTGTTACCTTTCTTATATGACGATTTACTTTTTAAACAAAAAGACCATAAGAAAATGTCTAAAAAAGAATAAATTGAAGCCCTTTAAACCAAAAATTTTACACACTCTTTTAGAAGGAGACAATTTAAGGAGGCTAGACTATGCTTTCTGGGTGCAAGGCGAATTTCTGAACGACAGAAATTTGTTGAAAAAAATAATTTTTAGCGATGAAGCTACTTTTTCTACAAATGGTGTTGTATCGACGCAGAACTCTCGATATTGGGAAAGAGACAATCCCAGGTGGATAATGAATGCTAAGAATCAGTATGTTTATAAAGTGAATGTTTGGTGCGCGATTTTTAATGATCGAATTATCGGACCCTTTTTTATAGAAACTTTAAACGCCCAAAATTTTTTACGTCATTTGGAAACGGAATTTACTGATGTTTTGGACAATCTGCCGCTAGATGCTAGACAGAATTTATATTTTATGTTAGACGGTGCTCCTGCACATAGTTCGCGAATAATTAGAAACTGGCTGAATACTAATTTTCCGTTAAAGTGGATAGGGCCTCGTAGCCCGCTGCAGGACTGGCCAGCCAGGTCTCCTGATCTTACACCAATGGATTTTTATTTTTGGGGTACAGTTAAAAATAAAGTTTACACCAATCGTCCACAAAACATAGAAGATTTAAAACGACGAATAAGAGAGGCATGCCGAAACATTTCTTGTGAACAACTGCGAAAAGTAAATCGTCATATAAGAAAGGTAACAGAAGAATGTATAAGGAGAGATGGCGGCTACATTGAAACTAAGAAAATAAACTGAGTTTTGTTATACCTATTTTTTTTTGTTATCCAGTCTGTATTAGCTTATTTACATTTGTATTAAATGAATTTTCTGTACAACCCTGTATACGATTTGGATGAAACTTGACATGGGTATATTTTCGATGATACTGATTAAGACTAAGGCATCAGCATTTCCGTATTTTATTCGCTAATAAAAAATACCGAAAAATCGACCCCCTTTTAATTTCCCCTAACGCACACCTATGGATATACGTAAGTTTAATGATCCTCAAATGTCCACCCCATTGATCTGCATAAGTGGTTAAAATTTGAAAAAGATTCGTCAATTAACACTTGAGTTATAAGCCTGTGTCACCTAAATCGTAGCCACACTATAGACATGGGCCCGAAGGCACTTTTTAAAAAATATACTTAATAATAAAAGTTAATAATCAGTTTTTTTTTTGTTCTTATTTCTAATGTCGTATAATATTAGTAACTGTTTAAAGTAGGTAATTTCGTAATTATTATCAATTTTTCGTAATAATAGTGTGGGATGGTGATATTTGCAATATGTAGGTATTTCAATACCATGGGTGATATTTGTTATAACCGAAATAAAGTTTAAATTCGAATTAACACAGACGGGCTCTGATGTCTTATAAAATTAATTAAAATTCATTTTAATTCAACACGAAATATGTAATAACACCCCTATTTCCTCTTTGTTTTACACCCTTAAGGAGATGTAGCTTCCTTATAACGCTTTTTAGGCGTTCATTTCAATGTTCATAAGAATTTTTTGTATTACCTGCTCTCCAAATTTGTGACACTATTCGTTAAACATCCCGTACAAATTGTAGATAACCCTTTGTTCCTAATATCTTGGTTCAATATTGGATCAATCCGGTCGTTTCGGATAATGATTTATAAATTGTACAAAATTAATCTGTCTTTTTTTTAAACAAAACAGGGATCTGTTTACCTCGAACATACATGTTTCTCTAAGCCATCACGCGGCATATGTTTAGCCCTTGTTTTTCCGATATCAAATATTCATTACAATTGCCGTTATCTTAGCGATAAAAATAATTTAATGCATTTTTTATTTACCATCTGCTTTCGACAATATTATCTTTGTACTACCGATAGTAAGTTTCAGTTTACTGTTCGTAGTACAGTATTGATTTTGGGGATTAGAACACCTAATGAAAGTTTTAATTATTCCTTTGCATCATTTGCGAATAATTGATTTTGAACCCTATAATTTTTTTGGTAGCATAAAAGTGGTAGTATTTCAATACACATAAGTTCTATAATACGTTAATAAAATGCTAGTTTGTCACCAAAGTACGTAATGTCGTACCCAAGCACATCAACATTAATATCACTTGGAAATAGAAGTGGGTCTAAGTTTGATCCCTGTGGAACTACAAAAATTACAACTCTTACAATATCCATCGTACGATTGTTTTTATGGCTACTTACAAAAACATAGAAAGGTTTACTGTAGCTTTTGGCGCAAATGCATCCCACTACGGCTAGTACCAAACTCAGACCGCCTAGTATGATGACCAAAGTTGGAAGTTCCAAGAAATCTAAGCCAATATACCGTCTTGGCCATCCCAGTTCATCTACGTAAACTACGCCCAAAGCAATCAGACAAACGCTCAATACCTGAAAAAAAAAAAAATAATCAGTAGTTTTAATTTTGTAATCATCATCTAATAGTGGAGGTGAAATAAATTTTGACGTGAATTTGACAAAAAAATCTATGGGTGCTGAAACAGGTAATTTAGGTGGTTATTAGATACACAATAAACAGCTTTGCATATCTTGCAGTGTCATATGGAAGTTGAGGGAATAGCGAGATCTAATTTAAAAAAAATATAGGGACACAACAATAAATGTAAAGATGACAAGACTGTAGATCAAAATACAGGTTGTTTCTTAAGTAGAGATAAAAAATCCAGGGGTGTATTCTGTGGCTAAAATTAAAGGTTTTTGTTATATAAATGTAGGGTCTTAAGACAGCCATTGTCCAGCTACAGTGTGTCAAAAATTAAAAAAAAAATACAAATGAGCTATTAGAACTAATGAATCTGCATTTAATATATCGTTGTTAATAAGAAAATATAATTGAAAATCCAAATAGAATAATGACTATTAAAATTAAAACAAAAAAGTAATTATTCTTGAGGTGTACCAAGGAGGAAAGCTCCAAAACCAATGAGATATATAATCTTTAGGTATATGGGTTGAACTTTCTCATTAAAATTATGCAAAAAATGCCATTAAATGAATATACTCATCAAACAATACTTTAGGATCAAATTTAGAAGTAGATTTGAGCAGTTAACATTCAATTTGTTAAGATTATCTAATAATAAATCAACAGAAGATTTAACTTCCAAAAACAACTTAACTTCGTTCGCATAGAGCAAGTAATTTCATCAAGGCATTTAGTGAGATCATTAATGAAAATAAAAATTAATAGTGTCCTCAGAATTGACCATTGAGGCACCCCTGAATATTGATGAAATTTGGAAGTCACGATACTGTACAAAGGCATATTTGTTACTGAAATAACACCTAAGCAAAGATAACATAACTGAGGAGATACAGTACGATTCCAATTTCACTTTTAATGATTGTGATCGAATACTTTAGGAAAACCCGAGGGAAAACCAACACATATCACATCAACTTGATTTTTCCTGTCCAAAGCTTCAGAAATTGGGTTTTATTTAAGAAAATTTTAGGTAGTAGAACGAGTACTAATAAATGATTGTGCAAGATTATTTCAAGAGAGACAACACCTGTGGCAGAAAGTTACTTCATTTTTCCATTCAAATATTTAGAAGAATCTTTCTCAACACAAAAAGTGTTCCGTCTTGCCAACATTTTGAAAATTAATTCCATTCGAAATTGAAAGAGCAGTGAAGTATTTGCTGAAACACTTAATTCGAAATGGTTAGTTGCATCTATCAATGACAATTTAAATGATTTTATTTTAATTTGTAATTTACAGTAACGCCACTGTCAGTAGAATGTGAATAGTGCACCACTAATGGCTACGAATTGACAAATGGACTCGTGTATCCTTTTTTAGAAAATTGTACAAATATTGCACCACTTGTTGGCCATGTTTGGGTTGGCCCACATTAAACATAGTTAAGAATCTCAGGTCAGGGTATTTGTTAATTAATGTAACAAGCGTTTCATTTTATTCTATTTGTACTAGATATTTTTTCGCACAAAAATTAAATTTATTTTGGATAAATATTTAAAGGTAATTCGTCAACGTCTACAGCAAAACAAAAGTGTGATATTTGAAATAGGTTGTAAGGTCTAATTTTTCCGAAACATCATTTTTGTGTAATCATCAACATCATCAGAGTACCTAATATTTAAATAAATGGAATGGATTTACAATTAAAATATTTGACAGGAATGACGTATAAACTTACATTTGCTACAAACGATGGGCCAAATTAGCGTGTTATGTTCTACATAAAAGAATTTTCGCCCACGCAAAAACTATATTTACGCATAACTAGGAATATCAGGAGAAAACATTGATTAAACGTCAAACATAGACGAACATCTTCGTCGTCTTAAGTAAATACTAATATCAGGTATGTAGACCGTCAACAAATCAGCAAATAAAGTACAAAGCGCCCCAACAAACAACTTATTTATTTATTACTATTTTTTCTTTTAGAGGACGTATCTGAGCTACGCGTCATTTTTGTTTTAATTCCTGTGAAGATCATCTGCAATCAACCGTTATTAATATAAATCTCACAATGCGTGACTTAAAAGGTGACTTTATAGTTTGTTTTACAATTAAATGTTTAACAATTAAGATTAAAAATAAACTGCTTTTAAAGGAAAATTTATGTTTACTTGAAACTCTACAACTCTCTGCACCGTAATAAATTCTTAATTTGTTTTCGTTCTTATACAGGGTGTTATTAACTAGATAAGTACTAAATTTAATCAAATGAAACACCATTACAACATAAAACAAATTAACTTTTCTAAGTTTGATGTAATTCAATCATTTTGTGTTAATATTTGTCCAAATGATGATCAATCAACGAAAATAGAAATTAGTTTATTTGTCAATCGTTTATTTTTAGACGATCTACTCCTTGTTAGAAATTCAATAATTTTTTTTTAGAATTAATTAAAGATTTAAAATTTGGAATGAATCTCTCTGTCATGTACTGATCCACTCGACCATATAAAACGCTATCTTAACTTGGGGATATACAGGGTCGGAAAGTCCCCATGGTTCATCGGCCGTTACGTGCGAGCGATAAAGAAAGTCATAGAATAAGATCCACTTCTTATTTGTAGAAGGGCGAAATGGGCTGTGACTATTAGACGCCTTCATTATAGCCATCTTTCTCTATTGCACGGATTTCTATGACTAACTTTATCGCTCTCACGTAACGGCCGATGAACCATGGGGACTTTCCGACCCTGTATACCTTCTCCAGTGAAGGTTTTTTCACAGCAGGGGAGGCTATTAGGACTTACATATATCAATGCATTTGAGAATAAATACTAGTTTTTATAAACATGAATATAGAAATCAATGGTATACAGTATGACCCACAGACCACCTAGACTGGCTTATAGAGCGACTTTGGTGAAAACACTTTGGAGCCTGATTTGGAGCCCAGCGCTCAGTCGTGTCCTAGCATTTGACGTGTACGCATCGCTGTGATTTCGATAATTAGACGTTTTATCATGGGCAAGTGTATTGTAAAACATTGTATAAATAGAAGTGATCGAGTTGGTGAAGAGAGGCGAAAAGTTTCCTTCTTTAGGTAAGTAAAAAAAAGGAATATATAAAAGGTAAATATGTACGCCATTTTTCGGTTAACGTCACAAGTTTCCAGGGTTAGCTTTATAATTTTGTTCGCCCACATAGTGTAGTGATTAACGTGATATTGTTATTATAAAATAATGAATGAATTACTGTAAAATATTTTTAGTAATTATTTACTTTATGTGAGTCTTAAATTTTTATGAAATTTTACCAATTCCCGTCATTTCGAGATAGCTGAAAATTAATTAAATATTTTTTTCAATTAAAAAAATCGCAAACAAAACTAATTTCAGATTCAGTATTCGTACAGTCAATTAATTTTTATTAAAGATCGTGGTTGTTTGACGTATCCATCTCGAGATGTCGTAGTAATATGCTAAGAAACAGAAAAATTAATAAAATTTTTAAATAATGATGAAAGCAGAACACCTAGGCTACAGAAAAATAAAATTGTTTATCATGTATTAAAAAACTTTCTGAATGTGAACATATTTGAAAATTTGCATGAACATCAATTTGATAATTTGCCTAACAATTGTAATCATTTAATAGAACTTGTAAGGGCTGAATGTGAAAAGTATATCGATGTACGAATAAATCATGAAGTCAAATTATTTAATTCGGTAAAATCTACGAAAAGACAAATATTAAATAAATTAATATTATTTAGAGGACAATAAATATATTTAAATTATTTTGTAGTTTTATTTAATATGACACTAAAATATACTATTTTCTGAATTACAAACTTAAAATTGAATATTTGTCATAAGATGCAATATAATGTTTAATATGTAATAAAAATATTACTTAATCCGGATCTGCTTAAAGATGCGCACGATCAGATTGCCTTCCACACTCCACTTCCCCGGATTTTGCATTCACTGGTACCCGTGCATTGGAATTAGATACGGCCAGTCTAGGTGGTCTGTGGTGGCATTTGTTTTTAAACCTTGTTTATTTATTGTGCGATTTTAACCGGATTTTAGTAAAATTCAAATTTTTTATATTAGGAATTTTTTAAGAAAAAATATATTTACTCCACTGAATTCACGATTACCCCGCCCTCCAAACCGGGCCAATACAAAATTTTATTAAAAAAAATAAATAACGATTTTGTAGAAAAATCAAAAATTCTCAAGTCTACTTTTTTTTCATTAATTTATTGTTGATATCAAGTTGTCCATGAAGCAAAACAAACACAAACAAATTAAATTAATTAAACTCTAGTAGTGTGGTATTATAATAATTATTAATAATCTTAGTTTTGACAAATTTAAAAATAAAATAATGAAGCTGAAACCAACAAAAGTTAAATAATTATATTCTTGTCACTTCCATCAATCCACCATTTACACACTCAATTCTTTTACGTAATTACTTTTTGTATTTGGTTTGGGGTAATATCTGCACAGGTTTGCAGTACCCTAGCACGTAGCTCGTGTACAGTTTGTGGCCTTGATTTATATTTTTTTTGTTTCAATAAACCCCACAGAAAAAAATCTAAAGGCGTCAACTCCGGTGATCTCGGCGGCCACTCAATTAAAGGACTATTTCGTCCTATCCAACAGTTCTCAAAATGTTCGTTTAACCATTCTCTCACCGCAGCAGCGTTATGAATAGGGCTACCAAGTATTTGAAACTTCAAATTAAGGAGATTTCTTAAAGGCAAATCATCTAATCTAATTCGTTCGGAAATTCATTATTACGAAAATTTAAAAATCTGTTCGCATTCAGTTGCCGTCAAAAGAGAAAGGGCCAATTATTCTATTATTTAGTGTTACACCAAACGTTAACTTTTTGCGAATACTGTCTCTTTGCGTTTATAATCAATTCTGCATTCTCAGCTGACCAATGACGACAATTTTGGGACAAAACTACCCCATTTGTAGTAAATGTGGCCTCATCACTAAATAAAATTTCACTTAAAAATTTAGGAATATTTAAATATTCTCCATGTAGCCATTAGCAAAATTGCCAAACGTCTTTCTTCATCTCCCAATTCCAAAGTATGGACAAATTTTGGTTTAAAAGCTTTTATTTTATTTTTTTGCCAGGCCATTTAATATAATAATTGTTTTAGTGCAATAGTGAGCTAAAAGATAGAGACGTTGTACTAAAATTCGAATTATGGAGGTCTTGCACATAGATTGTAGGAGTACTAATTCATATAATTACATCCATAACTCAAAAATTACATTTTTTGAGTTACTTTTTTAACAACCTGTATAAGAAATGCGATAAATACTTTCAGACAATAATAATAGTGCATAAGTAACAGATAAAATCTAAAACGTAATGAAAGTAATAGTAAAATATTTAAATAAGTCTATAAAATACATTTTTTGTCTGTAAAATGATGTTTTTAAGTTCCGTTTTTAAATATTACTCCAACCAAATTACACTTGAAGAAAAAAAATTGTCACCTGGACTTTTATAAATGGAAATCGTAAAAGGGCTTATAATAAACTAAAAAAAATAAATGCGTGAGCAGGGGTGGCGGAAGGTTGATTTGGGGGGTTGAAAAGTTGTGTAAAATTGTATCGTTGGGATTTCTGGCGAAAGTTGATGTCAAACAAAAAAGTATCCAGTACAAAAGTTGTAGATCATCATACAACTTTTGTAGACGTCATCTTACACTATTAAGATTCCCTAGAAAAATGCGAGAAACAGGTTTTTCATCGTACAGAGTTCTGCCGATGATAATTTTTTTTTCATTTTGACATAGGTATACATTTTGGTAAAATAAAAAAATCTGTAATCACAGTTCAAAATCATGCTCAAAGATGTAAACAAAATAAAAAATGACTTGCAACAATGAATTTTTCAGTAATTGTTGATAATTTGTTTAAATTAAAAAAAATCAAAAACTGATTACACCATTCAATTCTACGGAAAAAAAATACAAAAAAACTGTGTCTCATTGTTTGACTCAAAACTTTCTTTTTGTACAGTATTACTATAAACATCTAAGTCGAATTACAAATGCCCAAATGATAAATTATCTCTGGATGATTTGATATTTCAGCAATACAAAGTATTCACTGCAAAGTCTACAGTCCAATGGCGTCAACATTTTTGCAATCCAACGTTTTGTCTTCGAGGGACCATCATCAGGTTAATTTTATTAAAGTCATTTTTAATTCTGATTTAGATGATACATATTACCATTGTAATCGACTTAAAAAGGTTTTTAACTGCCATTTAAAATTTTTTCTAAATACATCTCTGAACGCTTTCAAAATATCTATTGGAGGAAGCATAACAGTATAAAAGTCAATACAGCACAAAATATCCAACAATTTTTTTTAATCAATAATTTAAAAAGTTAAAAAATAATACGAATTTATGAAATGTTTTATTATTTCTAATTAGTATTGCTATTAGTAAAAAGAATTGTTGAATATTTTGTGCGGTATTGATTTTTATACTGTTTGACTTCATCCAATAAAACAATTATGCAAAATTTCGGGTTTTTCCGGATATCTCCGGAACTACCCGGAATTTTAAAAATTTCTAAACCGCATATTGTTAGGTATAAAAAACACAACTTTTTTCTGATCTGAGCCACCCCGTATCTCTTACCGTTTCCTAGATCCTAATGCTATCCCATCCTTACCTTGGACACACTGTATATCTATGAATTATGTTTATAGCAATACTGTAAGTACAAAAGTTTTGGGTCAAACAATTTTTTGTATTTTTCCCGTACAATTGAACGGTGTAATCAGTTTTTGATTTTTTTTTAAATTTAAACAAATTATCAACAATTACTGAACAATTTATTGTTGCAAGTTATTTTTTATTTTTTTGCATTTTTGAGCATGTTTTTGAACTGTGATTATGGATTTTTTTTTATTTCATGTCAAAACGAAGAAAATGATCACGGCAGAACTCTGTACGATGATTTTTCTAAGCAGAATTTTTATTTGAAAAAAATGTGTTTCAGACCGGAAAAAATGAATATCTCGTAAACTTATTGATTTTTTTATCTAAAAAAATGTGAGGTTATTAAGACACAGAAAGGTATTCTTTCACTAAGTTTCGTCAAAATTAAATAATTTTTGCGGAAATGAGAAATGAAAAACAAAAAATCAGAAAAAAACCTGTTTTCGCATTTTTCTCGGAAATTTTGAGGTTATCGTTAAAAGTGACTTCTACAAAAGTTGTAGATTTTTGCATGATCTACAACTTTTGTGTTTGATACTTTTTTGTTTGACGTCAAGAAATCCCAATGATACAATTTTTCACAACTTTTCAACCCCTCAAATCAACCCTCCGCCACCCCTGCTCATGCATTTATTCTTTTTTCGTTTATTATAAGCCCCTTTACCACTTCCACTTATAAAAGTCCATGTAACAATGTTCTTTTTTTTTCCCTCTAAATGAGTTATTTCGATCGGTCTATATCAAGTAACTTTCGAAATAAAGGATGCAGCCATTCAGAATAACATACTGTACTGCTCAAGAAGCATAAAAATTGAAATACACCTCACGGGAATAGGGGATAACCCTTCATATTATTATCACTATTACAAATTCAATCTAATCTCGTGATCTAAATTGCCTGGCACACCTTATAAGGCGTAAAACGATAAATAATGAGACAAGATTAACAATCAAGTGACTCTCAAACCACTCGTGACCAGAACTAAACAATTAAAATGAAAGAAGGCGGCCGTACTTACCCCGAAACAAATGCTGAACACCAACAACGCCACCCTCAGCACGTGCTCGTTGGGAGCAAACTTCATTTTGCGGTACTGCTTGGCCAGCGCATATCGAAAATCACTGCAGAATAATTGTACTACTAAGAGATTCATTGTTTATACGCGACGCTGATTAGATAAAATTGCTCTCAAAAGTGATATTATCGTTCGGCGCTATCGTACATCTACATTAACTCTGCCGTTCTTGGTTCGACTCACCGAATGTTTACTGTTTATTAGTAGAAGTTTGCGTGTTAGCGGTAACACGTGGCTATTTACATCTATTATTTATTCAGACATTTAAATCTGTATTAGCATGAATAAGGTAAAATTTATGTATATTTATTGACGTCCTCGGTACTGCTACAGTATTTATTTATCCGCGTCGAAATCCAGATTTACATGGTGTATGAAATTGTTGTTTTGTTTACCATTACTTCAGGTACAAGGTGAACCAAAACACCTGTGACACTTTCGCTTCAGGTTCAGTGTTCGAATAGAGCGCATCTGCACATTTTAGTTAAATATACTACTGGAAAAAATTAAAGGAACAAAAATATTTCATAAATTTTTTAGTGATTTTTCAAAGGCTATATGTATGTCAGTGAAAAATGGTCGTGTCGAGATAAAAAAAACGTTTTGAAGCTTTAATTCTCCAGTTTCAAGATCTTTTTACAAAAAAATTGTTTAAACTATGATTTTATCGAGGGATCAAAAGAAATAATTTTTTTGGACTGTCCTTGGACAGTGTGCTTTTCCAGAGGTCTCCGTACGACTATTGGTTACCAAGATCTGAATGGTATTGATATCTCTCCAAGAAATTATTGCACAGTAAATCCACGAGCGGATGTGAAAACTGAAATAAATTATCTGCAAGGACCTATCATGGTTTTCGGAGAAAAAACGTTTTTCATCCTTGACATTAATTTGAAAAAAGTGCAAAAAACGACTTTTTGCGATTTTTAGAAAATGTACAAATACATTGAAGAAAAAAGACTAATGTTGAAAGAAATGTGTATAACTCAATGTGTCAATAACCCTGTAAATTGGCCGTTTTTCTGTTCCAAATTGTCAAAGTTTTGAAAAGAATTAAAGGAACAACACGTTTGTTGCTCTTAAACATTATGTAATGAAAATGAAAAAGAAGAATTTTTCTCGACTTTTCCCACAAGTTTATATTAGATATCGTTTAAATTTAAGAAAGTTTAAAGTTAATTGTCTTAATGGTAAAATTAAAATACATGGTGTCTGGAAAGGTCATGTCAAAAATGAAGGGGTATACAGGGGAGGTCAAAATAGATGTAGTACTTCGTAAAAAAAATTCCTATCGGGCTTCGTTACATTACATTCTGCAAGTTCGTACATTAGATAAATATCTGCAAATTTTTCATAGCTAAAATCCTTCATGATATTGAATCAACAAATGGTGTCAAAATGATTTATGACAAATATCTAATGGCTAATTATATATAATTGTTGACAGTCATCTCAATTTCCAAAGAAACCAAAATTTTTACGAAAATCGCATTTTTGATACAATACATGTAGATACCTATGTCGTTAATAAAATACGATTTTCTCAAAAACGGTACAAGCTATCGACTGATTTACGGCACACCTTTTTTTGAAGCAAAGTGAGAGAGGAATCGAACTATGAAAGAAAAATGCGTTTGGCAACGCTGTCAAAGATGTATAAAATTAAATGGATAATTTCGTCTGCTCCTGTATAAACCAGACATATTGAATATCAGTTTAAACTTGTAAATGAACATTATCATGAGTTACTTTAATTGCCCAAATTTGTTTTTCAAACGTCTTTCTTTGAAGGCGAATAACTTCACAACGAATCCCGATACGATTTTTTTAATGAAATACTACAACTATTTTGACCTCCCCTGTATATCCCTTCATTTTTGACATGACCTTTCCGGACACCCTGTATATTAATATACAGGGTATTCCTGAAAAGGATGGACAACGCTTGACCACATGTTCCTTGGATGAAAATAAGACTATTTAGCCTAACTAACCTATACCTATACAAAAGTGCACGCCTACTGAGATATAGCCTTCTAAATATAGAATAGATAACCTATTTTTTTCAAATAATTTGAAAACTATTTTTCTTAGAAACTTCAAATTTGGTACACTTATTTTTTTATATATAGGCAAGATAAATATAGAATTTGGAGAGAATACATATACAGGATGTTTATTTCTAGTGCCTGTGTGCCACTGGCTATCCCGTAACTTTTGTGTGTGTATGCCAATGGCGACAGAATTTATATTTTTAAAAATAAGCACTATTTTAGAAGATTTTTTTGCTCTTACAAAATTTCGATATCGTTTATGGATTTCGAGTAAAATTCACATTTTTTATACATTAAATATAGGCAAAAATTCCGATTTATAAAAAATAATTTATAACTGCAGCCTCAAAGCAGGGAATAATAATGATAAAACGCCACATTAAAAAAATAACTACACATTTTTGGTATTAGTATTATCAATCAATAAAATAAAAAACAACACTAATATTTTAAATAAACTGATATTTGTAATCACATTAAAATAATATTACAGTAAATGCTCAAAGTTACTTTCTTGTTCTTAATCGCAAACATTAGTTCTTCGAAAATTATAAATTATCCAATAATTGTGCATTACCTCTCAATTAATTAATTGTAATTTTGTATTCTTTCCCATAGTCGTTTTCTGTATTTACTAAAAAGTTATTTTAAACTGTGGTCCTCAACGCTCCCCAAATGAAATAATTACATGGGTTTAAGTCCGGGGATCGAGGTGGCCATTTTAAATGGGCATATTACCTCTACCTATCCACCTGTTAGACCTTTAATAACCTATAATACCTACCTGTACCCTGTAATACCTGTAACCTGTAATAACTGGTCTTTTAATACTCTATTAAAGGAACTTTTTGAAAGCCAACTTCTGTCGCTAAACGCCTTTTATTTACTTGAGGAATTTCTTCGATCCTTTCCAAAATTTGTTACCCCAGCTGAATAATTCCGGCCGTACATTTTCCACGATTTAATGTTAAAGGTAAAAAAACGTCCTGTTTCCCGAAGGCGTCTCTCCGCATTAGCAAATGTTTTGTGATTTAGAGTTCTTCGATTAGGAAATCTTTCAGGATATGTTCGAACAGTAGCACAACAATTTGCTTCACAATAACTCAAAACTACTAGTTTGTTCAGCAAAAGTATATATTGTAATAAAAAAAACTAAATAAGCTAAAATTAAGTCACAGCTAGCTTGACACAGAACCTTTTAATTATTGTTATGAATTTGTTTCTCTGTTATATGACACCTCGTACTAGAATGTTCTATTTATCTTAAACTGATTTTATATTAATAAATGCATAAAAAGTGCCAATTTTACTCGAAATCCATAAATGATATCAAAATTTTGTAAGAGGCAAAACATCTTCTAAAATAGTTCTTATTTTTAAAAATATAAATTCTGTCGTCATTGGCGTACATACAAAAAAGTTACGGGATAGCCAGTGGCGCACAGGCACTAGAAAGAGAACATCCTGTATACGTATTCTCACTAAATTCTATATTTATATTTCACTTATATAAAAAAAATATTTATACCAAAATGTGAAGTTTCTAAGAAAAACAGTTTTCAAATTATTTGAAAAAAAACTAGGTTATCTGTTCTATATTTAGAAGGCTATATCTCAGGAGGCGTGCACTTTTGTATATAGGTAAGTTAGGCTAAATAGTCTTTATTTCATCCAATTAACCTGTCAAGCGTTGTCCATGCTATTCAGGGACACCCTGTAGATTATATTAGGCTGACTTAGAACTGACAGATTGCACTCCATCAAAGTGTTGCAATATTTGCTAAATTAGATGTATACAAAACTGAAATAAAAACAAAAATTAAAACATGTATCCAGAATAAAAAAAAATAAGTGCAACTTCCTACTACTCATCTAATGTTATGAGTGTCAAAATTGTAATGATTTCCTGTACTTGCTCCAAAAAATTGAGCATAAAATGCTTAAAAGTTTTATTAACTTTATTATTTATTAATTTTATTAATTTTTTGAAGTAACATTCGATTTCATGTCAAATATAAATTTGCAATGATACTTTATGATGATGGAATTTTTAACTAAATTATAATATTAGCGTTAATTAATTATATTGTACAAAATCAAATGTTATTTCTTTGAACAAATTAATAAAAGGTTTATTATGGGAGTTGAGTTTTATTTATTTTTTATTTGTGTTGATTAACGAAGCCATTAAGATAAAAATGAGCCTCATCTCTGAAGGTGATTTTATTCGAAATATCAGCATCCACTTGTTCCATAATCCATTCCACGAACTCTCTTCGCTCTGCGTGGTCAGTAGGCTTCAGTTCTTGAGTCAATCGAACTTTGTAAGTATGAAGATGCAAATCTTTCACAACAATGCGCTGTAGAGGGGTTCTCAAAATGTCCAATTCGTAAACACGGTGATGTTCCTATAGTAGGATCATATTCGATGCAAAGTAATAAATCATTGCCTGTCAAGGGAACCAATGAAGTACGCTTTTAAGGGTTTTACAAGTTGAATAATTTCTTTATACATTATGAAGGGACGAGGGGATCAGTTCAGGTCTGGCACCCATGTTCCTACAAAAATTCCTTTATTCTCATAAACTATTTATTTTAAATGTAATTTATTATAAATCCAATTTGTTTCCTAAATTCCACATATGTACTACATTTTACCTCTGTACGCGCCACTGTTGTTTACTTGTTTTTTGGAAGCGCTCTCTAATTGACGGCAAAGCTCGCCAGGTTAGTATTTGACGTATAACCGACCAGTTCGTACACTCGATGCACCTGGGCGACTACAGCTACTACCAGAACACAGTGCGTATGCAGCGGTATTTCAGATTTTACATTGAATTTCATTTTAAATTTGAAATGATTTATCTTACGCCTCCTAAAAATGATGACACGATTTTCCTTTGATAAAAGACCGACAACTTTTTGCTCTACTTTGCATCGAATACGATCCTACTATAGACTCTCAGCAACACTCTCACGAACTGCTTCGATATTTTGTGTTGACTGACTTTTTCAATTAATCTCTTCACAGTTGATAAAGTTCAATCATTATTCCGGCCATATTTTGTACGAAAATTGTGAACTGTAGCTGCCCAAACTTCATTATTCAAACGATTTCCACTGTTCTCCATTTTAGCGCT